TCGGTGAAGGGATGCAGGTTCGCATTTCTCAAAAGGTGAACAAGCTAAAGTTTACTGAGCCTTATAGTTCGCGCCTCGGAATGTCCGTAATAGACAAGCGAACGTTAAAGCAAATTAAATCATCAGTCACCAAGTGCGACACACATTATCAACTCAGCCTATCGAGCTGAATGGTAGCTGAATCTTCCGAAGAACTATCGTGACTCTACTTGAAGACTGATGTCACTACGTAAGTTACTCCTCGTGGAAACTGAGCTATGGCAGTAGTACGCAGGTGCTAAAGAGCAACATATGTCAAACGGCTTTGCAGAGTTTGTGGATTCTGAGATATTTAGCAATAGCAGGCTGTAACGCACCAAAACAACCAGGATAAAACCCGCGTTGCATTCTATTGTACCAGTGCCTAACAAGGGATCTCACTAGATGAACAGCAGTTAAAGGGACTAGAATTGACGGAGAGTTTTGTTAGCTTGCTATCAAAAGTTAGATCGGGTGTTGTTGTTGTTGTTGTTGTTGTAAGTGCAGAGTTCGAAGCAAGGTTTCATAAGGAAAATATTGCATCAAAGTATAGGAACTATCTTCATTTACCGTGGTGGTCTAATGCACAAGTAAATGTATCCACGAATGTATTCCGTATGATAGGACTATCATCATATGCTTTAATAAAAATGCAATGGACGACAGCAGAAGTAATTATCCAGCTCGAGCAATATCCGCAATCCGACGAAGCTTTTATGTTGTTGGTTGCCTATTCGATTGCAGTTCTCAAGAAGTAGCCCAACGTCTCACTGCGCAATTAAGGTATACTGCAACCAGAGGAGGTTTCCGTTTAACAAAATGGAAGTGCGACAATTTTATCACATAACGGGCATCATCGGTAGACAACTCTGTCTGCGATTCCGCTAAGTTAGATTTATGGTCCGATATTATGCGTACCAAATTGGGCTAACATAGAACCCATCTGATGATTGCGTATGCTTAAACATAAAGGTTATCGAAAGAGATGATTCCAGATGACGAATTCTCTCCTTTGTTTATCGATGGGTTACAAATAAGGCTGGTTTCTCCAGTACTACTCCAAGCCATACAACTCTTACAATCGTTCGTCCGAAAAGGAATGGCATGGGACCCTCAGCGATTCAAAACGGGATGAAGGGCTCAGAGTTTAAAACAAAACTCGTTCGTTAAAACCGCTGAAGATTCCGCAATGCGTTAGAACGGAGCACGTTGCTAGAGGCACAAAACAGTTAGATTGCTGCCCGGCTACTTCCGAGGCTGGAAATGCTGCACTGTTGTTTAAAATAATTTTAGCTCCAGCTCATTGATACCAACTTTTCCTTCACATGGGGAAGTCCCGTGTGTCTCTATTGAAAACGGTCACAATACTTCGGATACAACTTACTGCTGTCTTTATTTCCATCCGACTAGCAGCTCAAGTATCGTAAGAGTTAAAGAGTAAAATAACAACCGGTGCATTGGACAGATTCCGTGGTCGTTCTACAGCTCCCACGTTGTGAGACCCGACGGTTCACTTTCGCAGCAAATAGGAACCTAGCCGTGTGCTCATGCAAATCAGTGAGGGTAGGTGGAAAATGTAGGAGCAGAAAACTATTCTAATGGACTGCTTCTGCTCCGTTATGGCTCCGATTTTCTATAATTGCTTACGTTCGGGAAATATCAATCCTGGAGTTACCAGTCTAATTTTTATCATCTCCAACTTTCTTGGCGTCTTTTTACTTCATTCTTTGAATGGATTATGTGTAAGACAAATACGTGCAGATTTAGCGTCCGTTATTTGAGCAAACCCGCTTGTATTAGCAGATCATTGTCGTCGACAACAAGAAACCCTTCGACATGATGGATTGATGTGCAAGCTTCTCGCAAATGCAGGATGCAATTAAAGTGCATTATAGTCAACTCCTTGTTGCTTACATTCAATAAGCTTAAGCATTACGACTGGCGTATTGAAATTTGCTCCCGCCTTGTGCCTAATTGTTTACGACTAATTCAGCCCCTCAAGATAATTTGCCAAAGGAGGCTAAAGAAATGTGATTTCCTTTCCCGCAGCATACACTGTCTTCAATACTCTAAAAGGAGACATCACCAACAAAACAAACAAGATCAACAAAGAGGACGCACTTTCAAAGTCTCTACGTGATCTCCGCCGATTCGGCACTGCCATCAGCATAGCAGCAATGGTTACCAAAAGTCGCGCTGACCCTGTAGAATGCGTATAACGCCGGTCCTTCAAACTGGGCAATATCAGCACTTGAGATACACCACTGGGCGTACCGCAACCAGTCATACTACAAGAATTTTGACAGCCATTGTTATACATGACACATAGTTTGTCTCACACATTCGTTCTGCGGCGATTACATTTATACATGCACGTCGCTCCTGTGCACTGTCAGTTGCGATTTCCGTAACTGGACAGCTGCACGCCTTCCAGGTTATTGTGCGTAAAGTAATAAACTCACAAGATTCGCATAAGGTAGATTTCCAAAGCTAAATGCTAGTTTTCCCTGGGTGCACGTCAAACTTGTACGTCCTTCTCAGTTTACAAAATGATTGGTATAATATAACTAATCTGCACCGAAAAATTCACCAGGTAACTGGGCGATTTTCCATTTAAAATAGGTATGCGGGATTTGTAGCAAATACACGTTTAAAATGTCATGTTGGCCAGTATGGCTGTCTCATACTTGGGCACACCTAGCTGGATTCACCATTCATCTTCGCTTTTGTCGCTTTAATACAGCATTTAGGTTGCCGTGATTTTCAGACAGGATGGTATTATCCAGTTGCCAAGTGGAGTGTCGAGCGCTTTTTCAGAAAGCTGAAGGATCGTCCCGACTGCATGGAAAGCTCTAATGGTTAGTAACCATTTCTTTTCGTCCACGTTGACATTTCAAATCTTGGTAAGGACCGTTTACGACACCAGCGCCACTAGCTTACGGATGAACAATGTCTTTGACCGGAAGACAAATAGCAAATTACTCTTCACTTCCTCCTTCGATAAGGGAATTTTACTAGTTGTTTAGCCTACCGGATGGGTAAGACATCTGCACACGCTCATGGATTGCGGTAACCACTAACGTACTGGACATAAATTACCATTTTTTCAGGTATTGCTTTAGCCTAACGGGTATAGAAAGCTTGTGCACTAGTCTTACATGGGATTGCTAATGCGCCAACCACTATGCAATTGCCCTGCGAAACATTGCTGGTGCAATTAGCACACACGAAATCGTGAGTACAATGGAGCATATGACGTTATTTCCACCGCTCGTATGCTTTTAGACTGCATATTGTAGTCCAGCTTCCCGAGACATTTGCCATGCTTATTTAAGTAGTGTTACTCCCGCTGCTTAGGAGTGTGTCGCTTAGAGTTGGTTCCCGTCTAAACACGTAGAAGCATCGTTTTATTAGTGACATGTCCATCACATCGCCAGTGATGGAAATATTAGTAAAGGACGGAATGATAAATATTCCATTGCGCAGCATCGTAAACAAGCAACCACAGGAGGGGTTCTAATCACAGAATTCCCGTCAGGCAGTGTTTTGGTTTGACAAATTACATGACGCAGATGGTCGATCTGGGACAGTCCGCTTGATTGTGGTTTTATGGGTTAGAAAACACTTCGTCATTTCCCCATAACTGGATTGTCTGTTAAAGCATATAACATCCCTATTCTTATTATGGAAATAGCACTAAGATGCACTCAAGACGTTTTGTGAGCTTTGTATTCAACCATTGATCTGCGCTAGTTCGCACTGCATAAACTTCGCTTAAGTCTCTCCTTTGAATAATCTGCTTTTCAACAGAAAGCTGTTCCTTTTGGTTTGAACCTCACGAAAGGTGTGTTTCGAAGGTATCAGAATGGTGGTGTTGACAATGTGGCGTGTGCGAAATACTAAGGAAAAATGACGACGTATACACCCGTAATTTTCTGGGCTAGTTAGGCTTCTCAAGTGAGCGGAACTATGACGATCCATGTACTTGTACAGCTACAGACATACTGTGACGGCGCGCTTAATCAGTCTTCTGCAACGGGTAATTGTAACGAAATTGTGAGGTGCTTAGTCGCTGTGGATCACCTGCTACATACCTATCGATCAGGTGTCGGCGTTTAACTTAAATCCAGTTAGGTTGCACTAAAATACTTTATTTCAACCTTGACCGTATTTCTCACAGCTGAGGCCACATACTCGGATCATGCAACGTTCCAACAGTCAAAATGCATCTTGCAGAAAAATCCGTATTGTTTGATTGCAGTTTGCTCACGAAGAACGCTATCAGTTTCATGCGTTATTTGCTTGCGCGTTAAAAAGGTAAAATGGAGTCGTATTATAAACAACGCCAGTTGTATGCATGTACGCAAGTTGCTAGCAAGGATGCAAACCATTGGCTTCGAGTTCATAGGCAACTGGCCGTACCAGGATTTGCAATCTATGTCAAACCAATAGATTTTAGTGCATTTAACCTGTTTTGCACCCTTCCACAAGCACTTCATTTGCACCGCACTCCCTTAATTTACCCTCACTTCTACTAACATTGTGTATGATTACATCGCATAGAACGGATAGGGTAACTAATTTAACCACCTTATTATCACATTCACTGTTGCAATATATTTCTTAGTAAGGCCTTGAATTCTTGTTCAAACCAGCGTCGATACGGGTATAGATTGTGACGTGCGGTTTACTCGTTTTCACCAAGTTCAGTTTCGACCCACGCGTTTTGATATTCGTTGTGCGACAACCATCAAAAATCTTATATTCCTACGTTTTAGCTAATCGAATTTAATTCGGCTCCAACTAGGACCATTGCACGTTATGAAATTTGATCCGGACATGATGGCAGATGTAGCCAAACGAGATGGAAACAGTAAGAACACACTTCAAAAAGCCGAATATGTCAAAACCAATTTTATTCTGTCGCAACTTTCAATAATTGGTTGCAACTGATTTCGGACTACAGCACTGTGTCCCAGTTATCATTTCATACCCTTGCAGTTTTCTAATCTAGGTATTATTTCTTTTAGAAATTCGGTGCACAAGCTCTTCGTGGACTGTCTTGTGCAATATTTTTCGTAATTTTCTTTGTACGTTGCCGCCTGTTGGGAGCACCAATTGTATGGACTCTGAGCCTCGATCTCCGCTTGCAACAACATAACGAACGCAGTCTGTTGATAATAAAATGTCAGAAAAGGCAATTGTTAGTGAACGTTTCGGAAAACATATGTCTACTCTATTAGGTATACCGCGATTAATGTTCTAATTTACATAAGAACGCATATTTTCGTAATGTGCACATAGTTAATATTTGGTGGTATCGCGTCGCATATGGTTCAACTGGTGTTGAATTTGGTACCATTTGCAGTTTGCCTCCATAACCGGGGCATTCGATATCAGAACACTTGTCAGTAGCTCTGTTCCATCAAACTGCTTGGTCAGTGCAGCACATTGTATGACATACTGTACCAGAATTTGTTGGATTTAATACCATTGCTTTGTCGGTCATTTGACTACCCCACCTGGGTGTTAAGTAGCGGTTTAGCTACTAACCCACGTACCGGTGAGTTCCAGCGCCATTTTGAGTAAAAGCGCTTTATTACAGCATGCGCTTGATAGCTAGCACACGTACCACGAATTGTAATATACCTATCATACGGTGCGTTAACCAGCTGGAATTCTGCACTTGGCAATATGGATATTTGTGTAGCATTCACGTTGCAAACCATAGAATAAATCACACTGTGTTTGGCAACAGAAGACCAAACTATGCTGTAGTGCCACTTGACAGTTAGCACCACACCCTTATTGCAAAGCAAGTACTTGCAATACAAACGTGCAAATTGTAGCTTCAAACCACTGTAATTGGCTACATAACAAGTGATGATGCTCAACTAGGTACATACAAGGCTATATATATGTATATGCATATTATGGTTGCTACCAATTTAACCGTTTCCCTAGTGTGGTTTTGGCAATTGCGTCTGGTTTATCATGGGCACGGCAACTTACTCACGGCATATCTCTATAAACCTTGCCGAGACACAGAATTTGAACAGAAAAAGTCATGGATTTTACGAAAAAACTGAAACAGTGTTAAAAGCTACATATTGACATCCTAAGCATTCTAGGTACGCTATGATGGCTATGCAATTATCCATGTGACAAGCATTGCTTAAGTCCATGCGCATAACTTGTGAGTTCTTGACGCATAACGTCAATAAGGAATGATGCAAAATATATCGCAGAAAACCAACATACCAGTAAAATAACATGCAGGGCCATTGAAAACGCAAACCAACTCGTGGATTACTAATCTAACCGGGACGCCAAACAGATCAGTATTTATATTTTTGCAATAACGTCTATTCTACTGGTGACCAATGGAACCGCAGGCCTAATTGTTGATGTCCAGGCTAGTGCTTTGTTTGGGTTCGCCGCATGAACGTGCATTGTAGAAGAAACATAACACAATGATTTTTCGACGAAAGAAAAACAATCTTTATGATCTTAGCATAACACGCTTGCAGTGTGTGTTTCCTTTTGCTTTGCAGTTGACCAGAAATTGGGTCAGTATATATGTGTGCAAAAACAAGTAATAATCGAACTCCTTGTTGGAATTTTTAAACTAATCGGTCTAAATTCAAGACTGGACTACCGTTCAGCTAAGCTGAATGCGAAAAGAGACCGCGCGTTTGTCCAAAGCTATGACCAGTACTAGTTGAGGTTCATAATCAAAGCCCTATACTAAAAAGATGGCGTCTAGAAAACGTGAAGCAAACCGCGATTAGCTCTATCGCAATATTCAGGCAGGCAACTATCTCGGCGCAGACATTTCAGTAATGTTTTCTATTACATTCACAATCACACAGTGTGCATTTTACATAGTGCAATGAGTTTGCCACGGGCTCACAGTTATTGTTGCCCCAGATTTGTTAGCTAAGCCCAAATATCTGTAAGTTCCTAGCCTACATAATAAATTCCCTTTCACCAAACTAGAGTTGCGTTTGAAGATGAGTTCTGTTTTCATCAGGCATCTGTTAGGAATTATAAAATTGCTGAGATAAATTACCATTTTCACATCCGATGAGACCAAGCCAGTTGAACTTTACAAAAGGTAGCGTTTAGTTGTTGAAAGTGCATCTTTGGCTTCTATCACTAGAGCAGGAAAAGAACAGGTTGGAGTAAGGATACCTTTGATTTATCTTGCAAATTGAACCATCACAATTTGCAACCTGAATGCTGTGACTGCATTAAAGTTGCAACGATGTTCTACTCCTCACTGTCACGAACATTTAGGCCATGCAGTGCAATACGATGCTTGTCGTTGGTACGGCTTTTATATCGCAAGTGCAACTCTAGACTTTAAGTAATACGGAATGTCCGTAATTTTATTTCATGCCACTAGTAAGTTTGTTTGCCGTGCAAATCTAAAACCAAGTAGTTAGAAATCATGCTTTTCCTCCCCCGAAAACATTAGCTAACCCCGACGAGTTTCGATGACAGTTTATCCCATCAGGTTAGGATAGCAGACCGAAACCTCTGCCACATTGGTTACCGGGTCACGGCGGGCTAGTAATTTTTCTTTTACAAGCTAACAACATTGTGCTCCTTACACACAATTACACGTAAACTAATAGTGCGTGCAACAAAGTTGCACGATCCATTAGATCCTTTACTAATCACGTTTATTACCATTTAAGACATAGTTTGCTTTTACATCCTGTAAACTGTTAGGATGGCTCGGATCTTAACGCGGTAATTCTCCGACCTGTGTGCCCCATGGCCAACGTTTTAAGAGTGAGGAAAATGTTAATTTAAATGTGTATCATTGTAATGCTAGCATTCGGATGCGTTATGATTTTCTGCTCCCAAAATCGTGCAGGACATATTTATATGAGACCGGAGACCAGGTGATATTTTAATTTTATTGGATAGGCTCTAATAATTTGAGGTCTTGCATAAGGAGCAAGACTGGTAAATGCAGGACATGTATCGACTTGGCTTGGCCAACCTAATTAGCCTTTCCGAGCGAGGAAACCGCGGATTTCTACACAGCACGAAGGAACCACCGTGTCAAACTCGTCCAAGAGAATAAACTAAAGTACCATCAAGATCTAGTGAACATAAGTTGCTCCAACCCAAAACTGCCATACAGATATGTAACCAAACTGAGCCGGGTTAAGCGCGGAGTTTTTGCTCGGCAAACTGCATGCGGGTTAGTACCCAAGGCACAATAGGCGGCCAAGTTTCTTGGACAACACCTTGGCTGTACCTACCATTACGTGCAATCATCTTATATGTCACCTACGTTGACCATGCTGCCATCAGGTCTTAATCGCGATCGTATGTCTCTACAGCGGTACAAAAGATGCTGACGTCCTTGGATGAGTTAAATTTCCCGGGTGCGACGGCATCCACCCGAAAACAGTGAAGGTTGCCGCCACAAGTTTCGAAAAACCACTATCAATTCTCTTTCAGCAACATCTTCACGTGATACGCAGCTCAACTATATGGAAGCAAGGTATCAATACGCCAAACAACAAAAGTAGTATCCTTGCTTAACCAGCAAATTGTTGTCCGATAACACTTGTTTAAGTGTTCTCCAAGGTTATGGAGGCGCTTGAAGCCAAAGCATTAATGAGGTATCTAAAAAATAAGAAAATTCCCGTTCCGGTACAGAACGCTTTTCGCTAAAAGTGGACCTGTAATACTAATCCTTTGATAGCCCGTTATTGCCTTACGGCATTTGTGGACGCTAGTGTGATGTTAATGCGGCCTACCTGGATTTCTCAGTCGTTTGATCGTCCGGACCATTGCATTCTACTGCAAAACCACCAGAAATATGGAATCGGCGATCACCTTTTAAAAAGGATAGGTGAGTTTCTCTTTCAACATCACCTGAAGTTGTATCTTCACAACACCTTATAGGATCCAAACGAAGTTCAGTGCGAAGTAACTCAGGGCTAGGTACTCTGGCCCCGCCTAGTTTTGCTCTTCATAAATGATCTTGCAAACGCACTATCGTCAAATCTTATGTAATCTATGGCCTGGCAATCTATGGCCTGTTATACCAACTGTAGAGGTCTAACAAGTCTTACAGGATGACCTGGAAACAGCGTACATATCGCCCATCAAGAACATGCTGCATTTTAACGCTACCCAGTGCAAAGTTCTCAGCATACGTCACCAGAGTATTCACAAATATTGTCTAGGAATTAAGTACTATAGTGGGCTTCTTGTGAGTGCCTTTACGGCTTGCTTATTCAAGATGAACTTAATTGCTTACGGCAGAATGAATGGACATCAAGAAAGCAAACCGGTACTTTGGCCTTCTCTGTAGAGCATTCCGAAACTTTGTCGCCTCATTCTTCCGAAAATGCTTAGTGCTTGTTTGCTTCCGCACGCGCTTAAGCTATCTAATTGTTACAACGCAGGATAAAGCACTGTCACACTGCGTTGGATAATTCACAACACAGGACGACAACGTACGTCAATGGTTTGTCTAGTCTGCCTTATTCACTCAGGCTGAAAACCTTTAAAATATGCAGCGGAAGTTATCGGCGTCTATGTAGCGATCACCTAAGGTTGTACCAGATTCTGAAAATCCCTAACCGCACACATGATTTCTTTTGAAGTTCAGTCAACACACATCTCTAAGCGGTCATTTGTTTAAACTAATCAAACAGTATTGCAGAATAAAAGGTCGACGAACCAACTGCTCCCTGCGGATGTCACAAACGTGGAACGCCTTCAGGACACATCTAAGTATTGCCCCAAAATTCTCCCCTTTGAACAACACTTTGACGATACTCTCAAACATACAAAATACGTGATATAGCCCATGATCATTAGCCGCAGGCATTAATGCACAACAAACAGTAGACGGTGTCATAAACCTAGGCCCACGTTCAACTAGTTAGATAATGCAGAGTACTTATCCAGACAATCGTGATTAACTCATACACTTATACGCTACGACACCATAAAAGGACTCGTCGAGGCATCCGCTTGAGAATTCTCGAACAACAGTCCCTTTGACAACGTTTGGACTGAGTTTATTGGAAGATTCAACCACATGGTCAACAGGGTTTCGGAGACTAAGCTCCTACTTCCCGCGAAAGTGCCTTCAGTTCTACGAAGCAGGACTCAAAAATGCATGGCGATTGGAGATGCAGCTTAGCGTGCCTACAAAGTTAACCTTGATTCAGAGAGTTGGGGCAATCTCCCGACTTATCACAACTATAGCACCCTACTTGCCTGTGAGGACTAAGTATCTTCATAACAGCGCCTTGCCAAAAATTCCTAACAACAAAGCGTTATATAGACATGTCAACCATCTTCGTAAAGTGTAGCAGGGCATCGTTTTACTTCTTACTACAGGAGGTAAAGAAGGAAGCGTCGAAGAAAGAGTTAATACCCTGCGGTTATAGTACGACGCAATTTTTCAACTCGCAGTCTCTACCTGTTCCGTGTCCTTCACATTACCGACTCCATTGTTTACGCATCTAATTTTCAAACCATCAATTGTGCTAAGAGTGTCACTCTCACTGCGCGAGTATAGCTCTCCGGGAGCAGACAACATCCGCCCGAAAGCACTGAAGGTTGTGGATACCAAGCTAGCTGACCCACTGTCACAGGTCTTTCAAAGGTTTTTGCTTGGAAAGCAAGTCCTCAGTATTAGGAAACGGGGTATTATCACACTAATTATAACAGGTGTTAGCCGTTCAGCTGCTGCAAACTATCGCACGGTGACTCTCGTCCCTTAGCTCACGAACTCGATGGAAACAACCCATGTTTAGGCTCTAGTGGACTACCCGGAAAAATGAAACATCTTGGCACCGGAGCGGAATGGGCTTCCGTCAACACTTGTCACACACCACCAACATGCTAATTGCCCCGAGTAGTTGGACGGAAGTGGCTGATTATGGGGTAGGAGTTAACGTCGTCTCCCTAGACTTCTTTAAAACATCCGAACGCCTAGATCACCGCATCCTACTTTGTAGGCTACAGAGCTAAGCAATTGGAGATACTGTTGTTGGTTGTTTGGGCAACATGAGGACTAGCAACTCCTCAACGAAGGGTAACAAAGAACTCAGGGGACTATTTTCTCTGTCCAACCAGCAAAGATTTAAATCGCTTAAAAGCTACAGCAGTCGATATCGGCGTTTGCGGGGGATCTCCTTTTGGTTTATCAGATACTGAAAAACTCAACCCGCATTTTTGTTCGCTGCTGAAATTAAACCACAACACCAACCTAGAAGCTCATCCTCTGAAAATGACAA